AGCGCGGCAGCTCGCCGCAGGCCGACGGCCTTGTCCCCGTTAACGACGCACAGCCGCGGAGATGGACATCGCGCCCCCGACGCTGCCCTTACTGATAGGCCTGCACCTTACCCCGAAGGCATTAGAGACGGCCGGACCTGTAGTGGGAGCCTGTAGGGCTGTCGGTGGTGTCGTTCTCGGCCTCCTGCAGGAGTAACCAAACCGGTGACTCGGCTGATGGCTTTTTAGCAGTCAAAAAACTGGAACTGAGCTTTAATTAAAAAAAACCCGAACACAGTCGCATTAAATTCTGGAGTACAGTGAGTGTACTCAGCTTTGGTGGGTGCAAAGCCTGTGGCTTACTGTTTAAGACCCTCAGCTAAGATTTTACTTATTCTGGAGAAACGTTTGTATGTGATAGAAAGTTACAGTTGCAGTTACCTATTACAGGACCTCTGAAAAACTTCGTTGTACCAGTGAAAGATGTTTCAAGTGATATATGACATTATTCCTTCAGACAAGATCATGCAAATGCATTTGGAAGTTGTAAATAATCACATTAGCTTATTCAGTCTCAGATGGTAGTGGGTATGTTCCAAATGTCCTTGGAATTAAACTGATCTCATCATTTTACGAGAAATGAACTTTATATATAGAGAGAGAGAGAGAGTATAATACATTGCTTTTAAAATTCTGTATTAAAATGAGAAAGTTTATAGGGAGTTGAATACACCATCTCATAAATACCAATCAATTTTAATTATTCCCTCTGCAGTAAAAACTGAACTGCACTTTGACTCTGGGAACTGTAGATAGGTTAACACACAGATAGTACTCTGTAAAACTTGCAGAATCTTGTCAGTGTAGCACCTGATAAACCAGTACAACCAAGTTGTGGGAGCCTGACGTCTTATTTAGGGGCTGATTTAATATTTGGTAAGTTTCCAAACGCTTGCTTGGAAATCGAGTTGTCTGTGGTATGAGGAAATAGTCTTAAGCTAAGGGCGTAAGTTATGACAGTGTAACCTAGATATTAAACTCTAGTGATTACATTAATTTCATATCTATTTATGGATGTATGAAATTATATTGATATAACTTAAAGCCAAGCAATTAATATTATATAAGTTACTTAGTTTGACAAACATATTTGTAGGTGTTGCGCTACCGTAAGCATGGACGTTTCTTCAAAAATGCTTTAATGTTAGTTGGGATTTTTCTTTTTTTGTCACTTGTAATGAGTACACAATGGGATGGAAGTATACTTTTAGTAAGAAATATGTTAGAAGAAAGAACAGTTTTCTTAAACAACAGCGATATTTCAGGCTCAGTAGAAAGATACTTGACTTTAAGTGACAGATTTGTTTGGTATATCAGAAGATACTATTGGCACTAACTTTTTTCACCATTTCTCAGGCAGATTTTATTATGTATTACGTGGATTTCGTTCCAGGTATCAAAAAGAGGAAAATAATTATTTGACATAGCAAAATTCCTTTTTGAGTGTTTCAAGAGTTATTCTCTAGCACAAGTGTTTTTATAAATCTTATTAATTTGCCCACTGTAATAAAAATGATTTTTTTTTCCTTCTAATAAAGCAATACATGAAGTGAGAATTTGCCTTGTCATATAAATAAATCTTTAGGGGAAGAAATGATAACTGAATTTTATAAAAATAATACTGTGAAGAAGATGCAAAATTAAAAGACAATTCCTAGGGAAACATGCTTATGGCAGTTGTAGTGTAGGATAATGTAAGCATTCTTAGGGGTTCGAATCATCACAAAGTATTACTGAAACCCACCTACACAATACTGTTTATAGGCTTCTGTCTTTGAGGTGGGAAGGTCCTTAAATGACACCCATCTGTGAGGCGGAGAACTTGTGTGAAGGGCATAGTGAACCCTTAAAAATACTGTTTTTCAAGAGGTTTCATTTATTTGTTTTCCTAATGCAAGTTTCTAATGTATCAGGTTTAATTACTTCCCCACCCCTCCTTTGAACAACTTTTTTGGTCTTAACTTTGAGACTTAGTTTTAGGAGAGATACCTTTTTACAATAATTTTAAAAGGTTAGAGAACGCTCCCCCTCCCTCGCCCCGGAAACTTTGGAAGCATGTAGGAGGAAAACGACAAGCTTCTGTACTTCAGTGGCAACTGGTGCTGAAGCTTTCAAGTATCCTTTTACCAATATTTTCACCAAATACAGAAGGTTCATATTTTAAAATAAAAGCAGTCTGTCTAAAAATCCCTTCTGCATATTTCTTCAGAGTTCTTTGTTTCCTTATCTTTGTGATCAAACTTTACAGCATAGGCTAGTCCTAGGAGGAGCAGTTAAAAGTAAAAACCTATATTTTGCAATAAAAGCACAAACTGCAGTTTTTGTGCATTGCAAATAATCTCCCACACACTATGGGATGTCAATTTTTGGGTTTTCCTTTGCTTCCAGCAGAAGTAGTGAAGCAGAGTAAACTTCACTGTATACGTTTCAGAAGGAGGAAGGTGTAAGTCAGTTCTGCGAGCATTTGAATATATGAAATCTAACCAGGTCAAATCTTACTTAGCCTGTTCAATTATTCCTCCAGCGAGACAATAGCTTGAGGCCATGAGAAAATCTTTAGTGTAACTGGTAATTTCTGCTGCTGTTGTGACACACATTGATGACCTTAAGGGACGTGCTGACCAATTTAAATTTTTGTTTTGGTCACTGTTATAAAATGATACTATTACAGTTTCTTCTTTAAAAAAAAAAAATAAAGCACCCTCTCTTGTGTGCTGGAGTGTACTGAAATGTAGTGGAACTTACTGTTTTTTCAGGATGGATGGAAGTTTTGTGGTTCATGACGTACCTTCAGGATCTTACGTAGTGGAAGTTACATCCCCTGCTCATAAATTTGAGCCCGTTCGAGTTGACATAACTTCAAAAGGCAAGATTAGGTGAGCATTTCCTGATTTACATCCGTATTGGTTTATTAAGCATGCCTGACAGCACAGTATAAGAAGTAACGTAAACAGTGCTGTAGGTCTGATGTTCCATTTCAGACCCTGTGTTTCAGCTTCTAACATTAGGAATGCATTTCTTAAAATCCAAAATCTGTCTTTCTTCCTTTCCTATTTATGGCCTATTCTTTGTTCACTTTTGCTCTTTTCTTATGCAGCTATCCTGAAATGAAATCTAGACATAATTCAGTTAACTGCTTTATCTTTTGCCAATACCATTCTTTTTTTCCTTCTTCCCTTTTTTTGGTAAATGTTCTGTCAAGACTTGGCACAATGAAGTTATCCCTAACAACTATAACGGTGCCTCTATAACCGCTCACTAATCAGTAGATAATACAGAAAAATGGCTATCCGATCTAATATGGTGATTTCCATTTAAATGAACATGTTTGCTGTTTATTTTTCTTTGTAAAGGCATATCTCAACTTCAAGTATCTCAACTTCAAGTTTACCTTTTACTGCATCTTGTAAAAGATGCCACTACATTTTAGGAGTACAAACATCAATATAGACACTGCAGCAGTATTTTTAGGGGAGCTTAAAAATTGAAATCTCAAACTGAAAACAACACAGACAGCCTGTTTATGGTAATAATAGCACACTTAGTTCCAGTCCTGATGAAATTTTTATTATTATACTTTGTTAGGCAGTATCTCATTGGCAACAATTAATATATAATAAATACGGAAGGAACTCGGTGAAACAGACTTAGTAATGTCTATTACCTCTCACTTAGCACTGTTTGGGAATCTGAGGACTGGAGGTAACAAATCTGACATTAAGCAAGTTGCTAGGATAACCCTGAAGAGCGAAGTAGTAGTAGGTTTGACATCTACCAGTCAAATAGGTAGAAACTGTAGTGAGGAATACCGTTGGGAGACGCATGAAAAAATGTGATACACTGGGAAGATGTCAGCTGGGTTTGTCTAAGGGAAGTTCTGCCTTAAAATAAACCCTGAAATTCTTAGAAAGAGGAAGCAGCATGTGGATAGTGGATATGTTTGATAAGACCTACTTAAATCTCAAAAGCTTTTGAAGAAAATAGGTAGTCATAAGGTAGGAGGTAAAGACATTCTTTGGATGAATACTTGGCGAATAATTCAGAAGGAATAAATGGTTTCTCTTGCACTGGGCAGAAGTAATCTCCAGAGTTGCACAAGGCAGGTAAATATTCATATATCATTAACAAATGGGTGAAGAGTGACGAAATTAAATGATAGTACGTACTAACTATCTAAATACTAGGCCCAAGTGAAGAATATTAGTGAAGAGCTGTGGAAAGACCTTACAGAGTAATAAAGAATGAGATTCAGTATTGATACATGCAAATTATCGCACTTAGGGGAAAGGCAGTATTAGCTTCATACATAAGTAATTGCTGCCCTGAACTCTGTTTAAGCTACACTGCACTGTAGAAAGCTGTACCATCTCTTTAAACATTGCAGCTTTTCTTGCTCATTACCCTGGTGAAAAGAATTTTTTGCAGGAGTCACATTTAAACAAACAGTTTTGATGTTCCTGCTCTGCGGGTTTTTTTTCCATGTCAAGTTTTTCAGCCTACTTAATAGCTAGCCTGGAAAAAAGGTAAAGTGAGTATCATGTGATCCGGTAAAGTATGCTGCTGGGAAAAATTAACTTCTGAGAAATGAAGCCTAGCTGACACTGCTTAGCATATAGTTTTGTTTGTAGTTAAAACTTCGTTGTGGTCAAAACTGTGTTTGGAATATTATTAAATAATCTTCATTTTTTTGTTAAAGATTGTATTTATGTTTTTAATTATTTACATTTTGCTCATTAGAGCAAGATATGTGAATTACATCAAAACCTCTGAAGTTGTCAGGCTGCCATACCCACTCCAGATGAAATCTTCTGGACCTCCTTCATACTTTATAAAAAGAGAATCTTGGGGATGGACGGACTTCCTCATGAACCCTATGGTACGTGCAGGCAACGCACATAAGTTAAAAATATGCTAAGGATCCAAATATAGCTATTCTTTGGAATACTGAGTATAATATAATTGAGAAAAGATGTGCACACTTTGCTGAGAGGATTGTTTTATTTCTTTTGTTTTTACTTGTTTACAAATAGAATTTTTTTCTGTCTCCTCTCCTCCCCTGTGTAGCCACTCTGTTAATGTATGTCCTCTGAAAATAGCTCGTAGTCTGGTTACTTTGAGAACACGATGTTCGAGTAGTGGGAGATCAACGTGTTGCAAGATTGTAATTATAACAGTTGAAAGAGATAACAAGCATTTACTTTAATGGTCCAACTTTGAAATCTGTTACTTATAATACTGGGTTACTGACTCAGAATGCAGTAGTTCTAGGATTTGGCTGTTTAGCTAAAAGCTTTATGTCACTGTGTCTAAAAATGTCTGGAGCAACAAGTAAGCTGAAGAAATATCTGCTCTTTCCTGTGTAGGTGATGATGATGGTTCTTCCGTTACTGATATTTGTGCTTTTGCCTAAAGTTGTCAACACTAGTGATCCTGATATGAGACGGGTAAGTACGTTCAGTTAGGGCAAACATAGAGAACAAAGATAATGAGATTTTAAGGTACAGGAAAATAATAAAAACAAAACTGGTGTTCTAAAGAAGTCTTAATGGGCATCATTTACTCAATTAATAAAGTGTTGCTGTTCTAACAATGAACTCTAACCTTGCTGACCCATGAATTTGCTGTTAAACAGCACAACACAGAATTAAGCTTGTCACAGCTTTGAAAGTATTACAGTATGAATGGCATTTTCCGGAGTTTCTTTAGAGTGATAGATACAATTTAGCAAAGGCTATTTTTTCTATAAATTTCAAATGTATTTCTCTGCTGTGTTTATATTAGCACATCACTTCTAGACATCATTTAGTAAGTGTTAAGTGTGTTGAAAAGAGTACGATGTGGGGTTTTCTTGCCCATCACTGTAAATCACATCGTTTACAAGGCTGTTAAATCCAGATGTCAGAATAGTGTGTATGCTATGGAGTCTTAATGTAGTCATTAAATTATCTGATTTATTGTCCTTTCATCATGCAAAATGCCGAATAGCAGAAGGCTAAGACAAAATGGAGATTCAAGGTGTTTGCTAAATCTTTTCTTACTTTTAGAAGTGTTCCTTGTCTGTCTTGGGTGGCTGCTTTTTGAGGCTTTGGTTAATTTAAACTCCTTTTCCTTTAAATGACCACTGTCTTCAGTAGTACTTTATAGGTGTCTGAGTTTTGGGTTTGTGGGGGTTTTGGTTTGGTTTGTTTTTTCTTTTAAATAATACTTATCAAAAGCATATCAGAGCTATGTAATGCTCTTTTGGCTTTAATTTTGATTAAAAACAGGATATGAAAATATGCTAGATATCCATGGCATGTTCTTCAAACTAAGCTGAACTTTGAAGGTTGCATTTTTAAAAAATCACTTACTCTTTTTTTCACTGATCTGACATTGCTTACAGCCAGGTGGTTCTGATGGTAAGCCATCAGAACTTCTGATGGTGATTTAGACGACTGATACCACTTGTTAAGGAGAAGTTTTAAGTTGAAGGATCCTTGCTTGTAATTTAAATTATCCTGAAAAAATAGGAGGAGGTAGTTTTTGAGAGCTCAGTTGTAATGGCATTCTCTAGATGGCCACATGTTAAATTCTTCAGTGTATATCCAACCTAAGTTCGCTTGTGGATAGTGTGTAGCTTGTGTTACATTATTCAAGCTAGCTTGTTTTTGCTTTGTGGAATCGGCACAGTACTATTTTATATAGAAAGTTAATGTTTTTGTAACTGTGCTACTTGTTGTAGAGGCATTAAGTATAGATGTAGTATAGATGTAATAGTAACAAAGGCTACCGTAACAGCTTTTGTTTCCTTTGTTCATTGAAAACAGTTAAAGCTCTCATCATTCTGAATGGTAACTAGAAGAGTAAGGTGACAATCCCACAATGAATTGGCAGTTAGTGTAAGCATTATCACACTGTGGATGTTCAGTTCAGCTGTTGTATGCAGCAAAAGTACTTCAGGGTTGGTTTGTTTTAAATCATATTCATTGATTTCGTAGAGCCACTAAGCTATACTCTGAAGTTACGTGAAGCTTAGCTTGGTACACGGCCTATTAAAATCCTTCCTTTCATGAAACAAAACTTAGCTGCTGTACACTGATAGCTTGATGTTACAAAATAGGGCAATAAAAATACCTAATCCCTTCAAAAACCTTCACAAATCTGTTAGATTTAGCATAAATAATACAAATTTGAAGATGCAAAAGCATGTGAAATCTGGGAGAGCACAGATCTGAAAAACTAAACAAAAGCTTGAATTTTAAAATGGAGAAAAGAAATGCTCAAAATAAGTAAGGCCATTTTTTTCTTTTAGATTATTATTTTTTAAATCAGGTGGTTGCCCTGTAAGACTGCTTAAGACATGGTTACCTTTTTCCATACACCAGTGCTTTTAGTTTTGGGGTTTTATGTTTCTGTGTGTAGCTGGGCATTTGGCTGTGGTTGCATAAAAATATGTAGCTGTATGTACCCTGGAGGACTATAAATAGTCAAAGAGCATTTGGGAAAATCTGACATCTTTTTGATGTGATCTTTCAACTGATGCCTTAGAAACAGCCAGAATTGTTACAAGCTCTTAAGGTTATCTAATCTTTACATGCAGGAAATGGAGCAGTCAATGAACATGCTGAATTCCAACCATGAGCTGCCAGATGTCTCTGAATTCATGACAAGACTTTTCTCTTCAAAACCTTCCAGCAAGTCTGGTAGTAGCAGCAGTAAAACAGGGAAAAGTAGTTCTGGGAAAAGGAAGTAGTTAAGTCTTCCTCCTAAGCCTGAGTTTGCACAACTGTTTGTTACAGATAATATGAGTGGAGTTCAGTCTTGACGAGGCTTTAATGTTTTATACTTGCTGTTGAGTTCTCAGATGAATAAATCCTTCTTTCAGAACTGAGTCCTGAGCAAGTAATTTGCTGTATCAGCTTGTCATATGTGTTATATATAAAATCATTTAATTTTACATTGTTTGCTGCCTGTACACTTTAGTTGAAGAACTTTTTTATTGCCCAGTTTTGTTCTGGTCTACTTTCTGCTAAAAACTCCTTGGAGGGGAAAAAACAAAGCATCCTGCATCAGAAAGACTTCTAAGCTCTGTGAAGTTAATGATGAGTCCAAGGTATCTATGTAACATGAACGTTTATCTTGAGTCTTTCTAGATCACATGTATCACTTCTGCAACACTTTTGGTTCTTACTGTTTTCTGTGTGCTGTGCATTCATCTTGCCACTGGTAGGATTTGAGGCCAAACAGAGAACAACATGTTTAAAAAGAAAGAAAAAACCTAAAAGGTATAGTAGGAAGGTAGATTCCACTCATCTTTTAAATTACGTTTCAAGCTCTATGGCTGTCTGTAGGTATGCTGTCACTGGCAAAGCCTTGTTCTTTGAGCATGCCTACGTGTCTGTACTGCAGTAGGTTTTCAAGCTACCCTGTAACTTCAGAGCAAAGTCAAAAAAATGGATTGTTTTGCACTAGATTAACATTTGCAAACTAAAATGACAGCAGTACCTGCCAAACCCCACTAGCAACTGTCCGTAAATCTGGTTGGTGTGGGTTTTTTTTTTAATTAGCATAAATGCTGTTCTTTTTCCATTTTTACAATTGCTGAATTCTTAAGTAACAGGATTGGTGCAGTATAGTAATGTATAGCTGATTCCAAAAATGGTATTTAGCATTCACTAAAATACAGCTGAAGCAAAATCAGCTCTAACGCGTTTATTTGTTCTGCCAAACGTTTAGGAGAGTATAAATTATGTTGGAATACATACTTAAAAGTATGCGGTGAAACATAAAAGCTGCAAAAGAGTAAGTGCTTGTTCATGGGATTAAGTCAACTTTTAAGATGTTGGAGAAGAAATAAACCAATGTTTTTTTGGACAATGGAAGATTTCAGTCTTTGCAAAGTAAGCTGCACATTTTTGGTCTTGTTTTTGTTTTGCTTGAATGGTCTTGTATAGTAAGTAAAATATATGCAATAGAGACAAGAGGATGTTTGGATATTCTTGCTGGAAGGATTTACTGAAATGAGTGTCATGTTGCCTTTGTTAGAAAAAAAAGAATCTTTTCAGTGGCATCTTACTGAAAAATTTCTAGGAAAACCAGGGAGCAGTTCTTTGAAGATAGAGCGATTAGCTTTGTTAATGTGCTGTCCTGGAAAGTACAAGCCATGAGTTACTTTTGTTTAACAGCAGTTGGAATGACAATTAAATTGCATTAGCTCGTTCTAATCACACTTTGCTTAGTAATTAATCATAGTGATGCATTTTTCCTTGTTACAAAGGTAAGAACAGCAGTATTTCTGCTGCCTTGAATTGTGCCTTTTCACTATCTTGATCCATCTTTAAGGGAGAATGGAAAATTCAGCTGATGAAAAGATGACTTTTTTAAAAAAAAGAAGGGCAGGAATTGTAAGGACCCTAATAAAACTTTGAAAGGAGCATATGGAATATTCAACACTACTCTTTTTCCTGGAACTGATGTATCAAGGTCCGGGCAGTTTCTTTGTGCATCAGGACCAGATGCACTGTACCGCTCCCCTGCCTTCCTCAAGAGAGAACTCTGCCTCACCCCCAGAAACCTGTTACCTGAGCAAACCAAGCTCAACAGTCGTTACCTAGTGTTACTCCCTCAGTCACCGTCTACGTTATTCCTCTCCTTCACAGAGACCTTTGTGAAGAAGGGGTGTGTAGAAGTGTAATGGTCTGCTGCTGAACTAATGCTGGTTACAGTGGTACCAACATTTTTTATTTTGTAATTTAGAGGTGGAATCTTTGTGTCAAGCGTGAAAAGAGGTTCCAACCTGAGTCCCTTGGTCACTTCAAGTTGCGAAGTGGTCTTGGGCTATCCAAAGCTTATTTGATAGCTTTCCAGTCGCAGTTACTAGTATAATGCAGGGTTGTCTTTCTGCAGAAAGTAAATGTTTGCTATGGTTCAGTTTTATTTCCTTGTCCTTATTTATAGATTTTTGGTAGTCGTTCCCCTGTGTTAGGTCTGACATCTCTCTTTTCCCAAAAAGCTGTAGATGCCTGTTAGTAAGGCTACTTGGAATAACATAAGGTGGATGGTAAGTTGAAGCAGCTGGTAACCTCAGAACAGAAATTAAAGAGGTGCAGGATCTTCTTGGACTACAGACAAGCTGATTTCCTCACTGGCAAAAGGAGGAAGACTTGCTCTTTCAGCTTGGACTGGGTAATCCCACCTACAAGTTCTGGTACTTTGCCGTTTGTTGCCTGAACAAGAGAAGTTTGTCCGTCTTTCTGCTGGATTTCCGTTACGGAGAGTTAAGTCAGATCACAGAAGGACCAAAGAAATACCAGAGCCAGCAGAAAATAAGCACCAGAGGCATGCAGCCAGAAGCAGGAACTCTTCTCTGTTGCTGGCAGTGAGTGTGAGTAACACAATCGGCTCGCTGCATCTTAAGGGTTTGTAGCCTGAGAGGTGGTGTAGCCATGTTCTCAGTGAGTGGGCAACTCCGAGTTTGTGACAGGCTGTGCAGAAAGGAGAAGAGACATTTTGCTGAAGTCTGTTTCAACGATCAGTCATTTAAGATGGCCTGGAAGGTGTTTGAAATAATTTTCTGAACTACTTCATCAAAGATGCCTCCGTCCTTCACATGTAAGGAAGAAATGTAACAGGTAGGTATCTCACCTCGCTGTTTTAAACCAAGAAAACAGTTGCTGGTGCTCTTTTTGATGGAGCGAGGATGGTAATGGCTCTGTAAATGGGGTCTGTTTTGCTTCAGAAAAAAGGCTGGCTTGTGGGTAAGGTTTGTACTTGTGTAGAGGACTTGAAACTCCAGAGTCAAATGCCTTGGGTTCTGATGCAATTGTCAGGCTTTGTGCAAATCACTTACGATTTCTGTTTCTATTTCTTGCGGGTCTGTTTTGCTTCAGAAAAAAGGCTGGCTTGTGGGTAAGGTTTGTACTTGTGTAGAGGACTTGAAACTCCAGAGTCAAATGCCTTGGGTTCTGATGCAATTGTCAGGCTTTGTGCAAATCACGATTTCTGTTTCAATTTCTTGCGTATGAAGCTTGTCTCACAAAAATAATTGTATGGATAAATTTAGTAAGGAATATTGGGTACTCAGATAGCATGGCTGTGAACTTACTGAAGAAAATCCAGTAAGTAATCCTAAAGAACACCTTTATGAAAGATTTATATGTAGTTCTTCATACATATTTGTTAAAGCAACCCTTTTAAGTGACCACATGTTAAGATTTCCAAAGCCATCTAGGCAGTTTAACTACATAACTCTTTTCCAGTTTAGTGAAAAGTGTATGAAAACACCAAGATCCATTTAAACATTTCCACTTGGCTGTTGATGGGCCTTTTATCACATAAAGATTGCATGTGATCAGTAGCTCAGAGGGCAAAGTTTGTTTTACAGTTTGATAAAAGGACCCTATTTTACAGGCCAACAGTGAGCGCAGTACCTTAAGGTGCTGAAAAGGATTTCACTTTCATTTTTACGAATCGGGTCTAGCCCTGAGCCTTCTGCTATTGAGAGTTTGTAGATAGTGAACTTGTATTGCTGTGATTGTTTCAATTGAAATGTAGTTCTTTTAGGAAAATAACCAATATGAAACGTAAATAATAGTAAATCCTTAGTGGCAACACATGTTTTTCATTCTGATGTGTGGGGATGAAATACAGATGTATACGGCCATATGTGGTGCTTATTTAGTGAACTGAGGAGAAGTGTTGCCATCTACTGTTGATGGGCTAAGGAATACAAAAAGAACTTGAAATTTTTAACTTCAAGTCTGTGGAAATGCAGATTTGCTGAAGAATATGAAAAGTTGTAAGTTTAAAGGTTAAAAAAATACATATGCACGTAGAATACACAGAATCATAGGATCTTTAGGCTGGAAAAGACCTTTAAGATCGTCAAGTCCCAACACCAAACCATGTCCCTGAGCACCTCATCCACACGTCTCTTCAAATCCATAGTCTCTCCAGGGACAGTGACTCATCCACCTCCCTGGGCAGCCCATTCCAATGCTTGACAGCCCTTTCAGTGAAGAAATAAGTGTGAAGAAATAACAGTGATTTCCTGATACCGATTCCAAACCTCCCGTGGTCCAACTTGAGGCTGTTTCTCATCCTGTCACTTGTCACCGGGGAGAAGGGGACCAACACCTACCTCTCTGCACTCTCAGGTCGCTGTAGAGAGCCATATGGTCTCCCCTGATCCTCCTCCAGGCTGAACAGCCCCAGCTCCCTCAGCCGCTCCTCACAGGACTTGTGCTCCAGACCCTTCCCCAGCTCCGTTGCCCTTCTCTGGACACACTCCAGCACCTCAATGTCTGTCTTGCAGCGAGGGGCCCAAAGCTGAACACAGGATTTGAGGTGTGGCCTCACCAGTGCCCGGTGCAGGGGAACAATCGCTTCCCTGGTCCTGCTGGCCACAGTGTTCCTGATGGAGGCCAGGATGCCACTGGCCTTCTTGGCCACCTGGGCACACTGCTGGCTCATATTCATCCAGCTGTCGACAACCACCCCCAGGTCCTTTTCCACCTGGCAGCTTTCCAGCCACTTGTCCCCAAGCCTGTAGTGCTGCAGGGGGTTGTGGCCCAAGTGCTGTACCTGGCACTTGGCCTTGTTGAACCCCATGCAATTGGCCTCAGCCCATCAATCCAGCCTGTCCAGATGCCTCTGTAGAGCCTTCCTACTCTCAGGCAGATCAGCACTCCCACCCAGCTTGGTGTCAGCTGCAAACTTACTGAGGGTGCACTGGATCCCCTCGTCCAGATCGTTGATGAAGATATTAAGGAGAACTGGCCTCAGTACTGAGCCCTGGGGAACAGCACTGGTGACATTTTGCACATTCTTGTGCAGGAAAATCACAGGATGCCCCTGTGGTGCACCGGGCATTGGGCAGATCCTGTTTAATAGACTTAATTGTGGTCTGTATCTCCAAAGGCTAGTTCCTGAACAGGTAACTGGCGCTGAGGCCACCGTGCCTGACACAACTTCTGTGCATGCTGTACTCTCCAAAACAGAGCGCATCACAGGAGTTGTTTCTTAGCCATGCTAACATCCTCACCATATCCAGGAATTATTTGGGGTGGAGGGAGAGTGTTGTTATTTGGTATATCCAGAAGTATACTGACAACTGTTGCACAAACTTATTACTATGAATCAACAGATTCCCATGTCAAGAGAAGTTCTCTGCCAGCATTTAACTGAGAAAGATAATTGAAGCTATAGATGATTGAAAGGACAAGAATTGGAGAAAGACCCTCAGGGTAATGTAAGGACATAAAAAAGACTGAAGAAATGTTAAGGATTGCTGTTACGGCAGATTTGCCACAAATATTAAGATTTGCCACAAATATTAAGATTTTAAATATTAAGATAACAAAAATCTGTAGATGAAAAAATGGTTTTGTGATGTTCTACAGACATTCTCTTCTAGGTGATTGCAACGTTGGCAGTGGTGCTGGCATGTGTGGGCAAATGGTTCTGAGAGCAAAGAAGGATGTCTGCCCACCTCATGGCCGACAAATGGCTGCACGTCGTAACTGGTTTTAGGAGAGCACAGACCTCTGAATTTGCCAGCTGTCTGTGTGAGTCAAGGAAAAGTAGCGACCCCGTGTTTCTTCCCAGCTAGGGAAGATTGAGACACCATTCAAAAGGTGGAGTCCATCAGTCTTTTCTTCAGTCACTGCATAGAAAACGGGCGGCTCTAAGTCTCCTCACATAGTCTAACCAAGCAATCCACCTTTGCCCGCTCTCATTGTAAGGCTCGGTTCTGTGTGATAGTCTGCCAGTGGACTAAGTACAAAAGACATCATTACACTTTTGAGGGCTAAAAGACAAGAAGTAGCAACTGTGAAAAAAATACAATTTAAGAAACTCTTAACGGCTTTCATCATTTCAGGGTCTGTAAAGGCACAACCTTAGATCATAATGACTGTTTTGAACTTTGATACTGTGTGTAAAATCTGGTGATTCAGGCCACAAAACAATACAACATTCAGGAGCCTTTTAGTGACAAAGATGTCTGTAGGAATAGTATTGAGCTTTCGTCTGTTTTCAGGTTAAGCTGGTGAAAGCTTCTTGAGGTCACAAATAGATTGTGTTTGTTCTTTTTTTTATTATTTCAGTTGTTTCAAATTCCATAAAGGATTACAAATCTGCTGTCACAATAAATATTGATTCTTCAGAAAAACCTGTCTACTTTTGAAATTACGAGGTTTTTCCTTCGCATTATGCTGGCAGCTACCCCTGTGTAATACTTTGTTTCCAATAAGGTTATGAAGATCTAATGACAGCGTAATTTTCTGTGCAAGTGGAACTTAGCTAGTTAGCTCTTTTATTGATGATGCACAAAACCAGATTACAGCTGAGCTCATATTTATTATGTATTTGGTTCTGCATGGCTGATAGGAATAAAAATTAATTAAAGGTTGTCATTCAGTCAAGGACAAATGGTAGTGAATATACAACAGAAAAGCTTTCATGGCATTTTTCAACCAAAACTGTGTTTTGAACTAATTCTTTAAGGCTGAATGCAAACATCAAAAAAATAATATAAAAGGTGATGAAACTCATTTGAAAACAGAGCAATTAAAAAGAGTTTTAAAGGAATATTTTCATTTTGGAATATTAGAATGTCCTTCTCAGAGGCTCTCTGGTCTCTTTAAGGATCTTGCTCTCTGGTACCATTTCCCTTTGTGTTTCAGAATGGAGGACAGGACACCCAGGCTCGCAGTCTGTTTTGCAGAGCATAGGTCTGCTGTTTACCATGCAGATGCAAAGAGAATCCTGTTAAACACTCAGAATAATACTTTCCATTCCTGGGGTCAGAACAGAATAAGACTTTGAGCTAATTTTTGGGGATGGCGAGGTGTGTTTCTTTTCCTACCAGTTCATTCTCTCAGCCATCCACAAATGTGGTTCAGATTGCTTCAGCTTGGCAGGTAGGAAGTGTGTGACCTGTATTAAAAAAGATTTAATTTCATGACTGTGGTAATTTTTGAAAGAGTATCTAAAGAAATTGGAGATGAACATTAAGCTTCCTAGTGAGGTTGTATTTTTGCAGACCTAAACATTATCTCTTAAAAAAGAGAAGGAGCTCAGATGGGGGGTGGAGCAGTTGTAAAAGACAGGCTTAAAGTGGAATAAGTGCAGCATCCATCATTGTATTTACCAACAGTTGTGAGAATTGAACCATGGTGTTGTTACTGGGTGTGTGATTAAAGGATCTAGATGGATGGTCCTTTTATGAAAATATTTCTACCTGTGGCTTTGTAAGGGTTCCCCACGTTAGGGACATGAACCTATAGACAGTGGGTAGAAATTCCTTGAGAGAGTGCCCTTATCTTGCAGTCCTCTCATTTTTTGGATTTGAATTTAGTGTTGACATTCCCTCTTTTGTTGTGGTTTGTTTTCCTGCTGATTCTGTTCACGTGGTATTTACACAGGGGTTTTTTACCTTCAATTTGCCCTTCGTTTTTATGAACACTGCAAGGGTATTGTTGAAATTGCTGTAGCAAAGTCTATTCAGCTGGTGCTGGCAGAAATAATCGTACACCTCACTTGTGCTTTCAAATGTTTCAGTGGTAGCAACCAATTATTTCTATCACCAGGTAGCTAGCTAATGGTGGAGAGGTCATTCGTCCTGGAGAGATCTGATCAAATTGCTGTGCTTTCTTTGTAATATATTTGAGGTTTTATTTTATTGTAGAATTTTTTTCAAACCCTTTAATAAGTGTACCCTGAGGAGAGTAGCAGAAAGATTGTACGGTCACCCACCATTCACTGAAATTATGAGAGTTTAACAAAATACATTGTTTACAGTTTTTCCTTTTGGGGGCGGGGGAACGAACAAAATATCCAGAGGGCCTGGGTAGCTCCTCATGAGAAATGTCAACTTAAACCCCAGTACTTGACACTGGAAGTCACCTGCTGCTTTGAGCCCACTTCATTAGTATCACATAGGAAAGAAACACACTTGAAGAATTCTGCCTCTTTGAATCTTAAATCTGTATTGCAAAAAAACTGCGTGCTGTCCTTCATGCGTTGTAGCTGTTCATGCACCTTTTGTGTGTAATGGACTAGACTTGCCCTTGTACAATCGTGAGGTGCCTTTATGGCTTTGCAGCAGCTTGTTAGCTGTTATGCTTCTGTACATTGGTCAAATTTGATAGCTTTTTTTAACCAGATAGATTTCCTCTCAAATCTTCCTTCTTGTAAGAAGTGATTATTGCTATAAAGACTTACATTTCCTAACTTGATTTAAGCACTGTTTGCTTGTTTTCTTGAAACAGTGCTCACATTGCCTACTCTTCATTTATTTTGAAAGCTTTAATAGAGTTTGTGTTCACATACTTTTACTGCCTAATAATTCTGTGTTTCAATTCAGGAATTTGAATAAGCAGGTATTTCTGCAATAATAACATGCACTACTGAGAATATTAGTACAGTTTATCAACCAACACCAAACCCATGAAATGGGCTCTGCTGTATTTGCTATTTTTAGCAGCGCTTACTTGCTTCAGTTAGCGCCTTTATGAACAAAATACGTTCCAAAATTACCAGTGCAACCAGGTTGTATAAATACCTGTGGACAAATATGTAAACCCACCTGAAGGTCTTGCTCTGCTACAGAATGTCACTTTGGAAGGGAAGTTTAGTATTCTTTCTCCAGCCAGTCCAAGGGGTATTGGTCTCAGCTGCCGAACACAGGATTATGGCTATTGTGCATGGTGGCTGCAGATGGAAGATGGTGAAAAGCTCCTAGTCTACACTGTAGGAATGTACTTTACGCATATGTATGGCCTTGTACTGCTGTAGCACTTCCAGAGAATCTCTTCTGAGTGACCACCATCTGTGGCCCAAGTATGCCATAATCAGGAATGCTTAAAATGCAGTAGTCGGGAAAGGTCATTAAGCTAACCAGACTGAAGCAAGATTAAATCAACAGGAGTTTGAACCATAACCCTGAGATGTGTGCATGAACTTCCCTTTATTTATAAATTCCACAGATGAAATTTCAGAATCAGTGTGTTAAAGGGGCATTACAGGTTTTCTAGTCTGTATAGGTTCTTAGGCTGTATGTTCTTAACACCTCAGTTCCTTAAAGCCTTTCAGTTTTCAGATTTCAGCAATCTGACTAATTCTTATGATGTGATCTCAACCTCTCTCCTGCTCAGAACTGTGGGCAGTGAAATGTCTTGTTTTGGTAGAAATTTTTCTGCTCCCACCCTATCCACCCCTGGGTATTGTTCACGTTCTATCTGTTTTCCTTGAACAACAGCAGGATCAAGAAACTAAGTCATGTAGTTAGTGTGAGACAGTGAGAGCTGTGACAACCATCATTTCCAGGAGAGACTGATTCCACAGCCAGCTGCACAGACACATGTTAGTGTGGCAGGATATATATGAGGTTTGGGTTTGGTTTTTTGGCTTTGTGGGTTTTGTTGGTGTGTTTCAGATTTGGATTTGTTTTTTTTTTTTCCTTGGGCTCATCATCAAACTGAGAATTTAATTTTGTTTATTTAAAGCCTGCCTTATGTTCTAAAACATTCTTTTTATGATCCTTCAAGCATTTCTTGTGATGGTATATTGCTCTATATAAAAGACCCCTCTTTTTTCTTTGTTTTCTTAGCAATGCTACTTCAGCTGAGAGGTTGCTAGAGAGCAACCGAAGTCACGGAATCTGTCTTTGGAGATGAGATGGTTGCCATGACAATGCTCCCAGCTGCTTCTTGTCCCAGATGAGAAAATCATTTTTAGACTCCTACATGACAACGTTAGGCTGCAACGTTTTCAACTAAACAGCATAGCTAACAGAGCCAAATCTAAGATCAACATGTTGCTTGTTAAAAATCTTGGGGCTGATAATCAGCTGAAATTGTTGAATCAAATACTTGTGCAGGAACTTATAAAATATTTTTTGCTATTTGTTTTTGATCAGATTCTTGAGGTAAAACTGGTCCATTGAGATGAAAAATACTTTTATCTCACTGACTTTACTAAATATCTTTCTTGTAGTAGAAATCATCCTGAAAGCTGACTGATAAGGTCTCCTGGGAGACCTTATAGCACCTTCCAGTACCTGAAGGGGCCTACAAGGAAGCTGGGAGGGGACTTTTTACAAGGGCGTGTAGTGACAGGACAAGGGGTAATGGGTTTAAACTGAAAGCGGGGAGGTTTAGACTAGATATCAGGAAGAAATTCTTCACAGAGAGGGTGGTGAAGCACTGGAACAGGTTGCCCAGAGAAGCTGTGGATGCCCCATCCCTGGAAGTGTTCAAGGCCAGGCTGGATGAGGCTTTGAGCAACCTGGTCTAGTGGAAGGGGTCCCTGCCCATGGCAGGGGGGGTGGAACTAGATGGGCTTTAAGGTCCCTTCCAACCCAAACCATTCTGTGATTCTATGGTACCTAGATGTTCCAATGCTGCACCACCCCTGGTGAACAAGATTTCCCAAATGTCCAATTTGAACCTCCCAAGTCACAGGCTGTTGTCATCGCACCGTGCTATTGTTTGGCTATGTGATTAACCATGGTAAACACAACAGCCTGGTGAGGTTCAGATGGATAGTAGCAGTCAAAGGAACCCTCGTTAACCAAATGAGTGAAAATCAGGATGCACAGGCAGACTTGGCTGCTGCTAAGGCTACGGAAGGGAATGACTGGACTATTGGTCCCTGCTGTGGAAACCAAAGAAACTCTCCCAAAGCTCCTTGCAGAGTGAAGTGTTGCCTACAGGGAATTCACTGTAGGATGCAGGGGGAAGGGTGCTTTGGAATTGTTCAAAGATTATTATGGGATGCTTTTAACAGGACTGTGGGAATGTGTGAGACTTTCTATGGAATGTTTAGAGGAAGGACCAAAGGTTGAGAAAGGGAGAGACCAGTGTAGCAGGGAGAAACAAGCCTGGTTTGATTTTTTTCTTGACCAGTCTACGTTGGCTGCTTTTGATCTGTCCTTGTCACTTTGAAACCACCTAATGTCTTCAGTATCTTTGAGCTGTTTTTCATCTAATCTGGCTTCCAGTCCTACTTCTTCATTAAAATTAATTTCATTAAGTTACTGATCACCGCTTATGAAGTCTGAAAAAAAAAAGGCATCAAATCTGTGCCATTTGCCCTTCTCCCTCATTAAATAATGGATTTTTGATTTTTACTTCTTTTTATTTCCAATGCATTTGCAGAATACTTGTCTGTTTTTATGTCCTTTGCTAACTGTAACCCTTTTAATCTTAACCTCTAATTTTATCCTAGTCTGTTGTTGTGTTATTCCTATAAAGTCACTCATAGGAATTTGTTCTTTTGTTCCACTCGTTTGCACAACTTCATCCTGACTTTCAAATTTTTTGAGACCTCTTGAACCAGACCTTTTGAGCTCTTAGTATGGTTCCTGTTTTTCTCCATGGGAAGTAGTTTGTCATTTCTCCTTCATTATTGTACTTTTTATTAATTGCCAGCTCTCTCAAAGAGCCTTTCTCTCTCAAACTCTTAGTAAGAGAGGATAGAAAATGGTTGCCTATGTTTCTTGGTCTGCCCCCCCCCCCCCCCCTTTTTTTTTTAATCTATTGTCTTTACAATGGTGCATGTACTTTTCCTTTCCTCAGAATCACAAATTTTACTGTATTAAGATAGGTGTCACCTAAATTGCATTCCACACAAATATTCTTCAACAGTTTTCACCTGCAGTGATTGTATTGGGCAATTTCTGCCACCTTTAGAGTAAAAAAGTCATTTACAAGGTGTGTCCTATCATTCTTTTTTCCAAAGCTACCTGAATAACTTCCAAGTTTTTATTACCAGTAGTCCTATCTGTCAGCTAACCAAACAATCATTTTCCATTGTCTTCCATGATGATGGATGTGGATGTATTTTTCAAGTTAGGTCCTACTTCAGTGTTTTTGTTGAAAATGAACCCTTTTCAGTTCAGGTAAGTTTTGACACCTTTAGAATTTAGTCTATGGTTCAACAGGAAGACATGAAGAGTATGTTTATAATGTTTACTTTGGACCTTGGAATATTGTCATAAAGAAACCTGGAAAAAAAAAAAAGTTGGTGAACATTTGAGAAGTCAAATGCTTCCAAGAGAGAAGGATTTGTTTTGGTTTACATTCAGTCAAAAATACATAACTCTGTTCATTTCCCAAACAATGGTTCATCTCACAAATAATGTATAAAAAGAGATTTAGAAGCTGTATTGAAAATAGTCTTATGTACAGTGTGTTTCAGCAGTTAATAACTGCTTTCTGTGCTGTCAGACAAAACACACACTTCATGTGCCATTGCCAGCTCAGACGTTCAAGAACAAGCGAAAACTCTTACGCACATTCTTTTGTTAGTGATCCTATAAAAGAGAGAAAAGCTCATGTAGCCAAGGTTGCAAAGCAATTCAAAGTCACTCAAAGTTTCAGAAGTAGCTCTATGGCATGTCTGGTGTTTTTTTTCCTTTTGTGTGTGTGTGTTTTTGTTTTTCCCCAAAGCAATCTCTTGGGTTGCGCACCCATAAAACTTCTTTAAGGAAAGTTACTCAGGGAGTCCTTTGTAATATGTTTTATGTGTTTTGCCTTATTAAAATTTGACTCCCGAGTTCCTTGTTGGGCTGAACAAAATTATTGCACACAAATTATCATTTTTACATGTTTCTGGCAACAATACAAAGCCATGAATCACCCGTCTCAAGCCTTTATGGTCTTTCTTTTAAAACCATGGGTACACAAGTTTCTAGCCCATGTGAAAACCTTTCCCATAATATTTACTGGCAATTACTGACATCATTGTCGAGACTGCTGAGTTTAAATTAACACTTCTTTGCCCTTGCTAGAACTGACAGCTTCATCATATGGGTTAGATATGGATATTTTTCATATGCCTTACACAAGGAGTAAAGGATATGATAATTTGCCATATAGTAGCCAGGTTGTCTTTGCAACTAACTTCAGAGCTTCATGAAGAGGTAAGCTGATTAAGCTCAGTCAATTCTTCCTTTTCAAGTGTGTGCCATGAGCTTTTAAATACGGAGAACTTGTAAAGAGGCTTCCCACATAGGAGAGGCTGCATTGGAAAAAAACCCAAATGAATGCTTGCCAGTTAAAGATGAGCAGTACCAGAGGGATAATTAAAACTTCAGCATATCGTGGAGAAGGAATATGCAGTCATTGGGCTGAGAAACTAAGTATCTTAATTAACATGGCTAACAATAAGTCATTATAGCAATGCATTATTTCAAAATCTGTATATGACCAAACCATACCAATGCAAAGTAGTCTTACCTTAGGATCATTATATAATTTTCAGGGCTGAAAATTTATTCTCAAAAACACTTGATCAAATTCAGAGAGAGAGAGAGAAATGTAATTATTTTTGTATTTTTCAAAGTTTTCATCTACAGAAATAGATGCTTTCTGAGCACGAGTGAATGAATGCTCTTGCCCTTTCTTCTAATTAAATGCTTCCCACTTCACTTCTGCTCTGCCAGCTCAGAAGAATGTTTGGAAATCAACAAAGAGAAGCAAACAGCAAGAAAGTAAAGAAAAATGGAAAGACGGGGGAGGAGATAAGCAGTGATGGAAAATGTAGGAATGAAAGGCACAAACCAAAGATGTGCCCCAGTTTATGTAAGGGTGACATGAAACCTACCAATAAATACCCCTAAAGTCAATGGTGTTTGCGAGAGTGTATCAATACAGACTGGAAAGGTGCCTTCTCCTGCCCTTTCTTAGCGTACTGCTTCAGCAAGAACTATATCCATTCCAAGTATTTTTTATTATTTCATAAGCTACCCTACAGTACGTTCATGCCTTAGCCAACGTTTACAAAGCTTGGTACTAAACAGTAATTGGATATGTCAAACATACAGATATCAGAAATTCCCTGAGCTGCATAATGCTAAGAGCAGAGAGAATGTATTCTTCAGCTTTTCCCTGTAGTTCTGATACTGACCAGTGTCAGGGAAAAGATAACTGTTCTGACTCCCTGTGGCCATCCTAATGTATAATAAAGCATTGCTTGTGCTTTCAAAGTGAAATATCACTGAGTTTTAAATGTTACAAGCAAATCTTTCCTAAAACATTTGCTATGTGTATTTGTTTAATTGTGCTTGAAATACAAATCCTCACATCTTGTGCTTTCACGGAGGATGAATTACTGAAGAACAGAAATTATGCATAGTACAAATCCTCAAGCAGAGCTTGCACAGAACTTACATGCTCCATCAAGTTTAATTGTGGCTTCTTTCAGGGAGAGGATCTCGTCAAAGTGGGTTGCAGGCTGGATCAAGGAGCATAAAAATAAGTGTTGGCTGATTTTGAAAAGGGTAAATGCTGGATTAGACATCATCTAAAGGCCTTGCAGATAGAAAGTACAACTTTCAGATATAGCAACAATTAATTCATGTAATTCATTACACTTTTGACCTGAATGAATGTTAATTAACTCTTGTTCATCCAAATAAACTGAAATAAAAACCTGTTGACCAGTCTGTCCTGCTTTTGGGGTTTTTTTTCCATTTTTGTAGCTCTAAGACACCGCTTCTGGATTATTGACATTAAAATATGAAGTAACAGCAAGGTTTCTAGTTGGTTTGTTCTTAATATTTAAAAATTTACACAATTAAAAATCTACACAATTTTAAACGTGACTAGCAGTATAGCACCTAGTTAATTTACCTGTGCAAATGACATAGCAAATTTGGGCACCTGCCTGTGTGTATTAAGTAACATAAGTAATTTTCTGAACTAAAACGTCTTCGTGGTTCTCCATCACTGTTTCTCCCTATTAATCAAGGATATTTAATTTAGTTATGATGTTGTTTTAATGCTTATGGATGAACTTTGTACTTTATAATTCATACCCACATAGTGTAATATGTCAGTGCAAAGTCCACCAGAGTAAGCACACAGTGTGAAATAATGAAGATGCAATTCTGCTGTATTTGAGATAGCGCGTGGGAGCTGATTTATTCACCTGGACTTAAGTAGCAGGCAAAGTACAACTGTGGAGAATGAGCTCATTCATTTGTGTGCATTTTTCTTTGCCAAGCTTCACTTGAAAGAGGTAAGGTGCTTGCCTAGTGCTGTTTTCTTCAGTTGCTTTCTTAATAATTTATAATGCCAAGTTCTATTCCAGAATTAAATGGATCTGTAAATCATTTCAATGTGTAAATATGAGGGAACAAAAAAGACTGACTCACTCCAGAATGCTAAAAGAAAAGTAAAAAAGCTAAATAAATAGCTCCAGGTTCAAGTACAGATTTCCTGAAGTTTAGTGTTGCTTGTGGGTTAGGTTTTGATTGTAAGTAATTTATAATTAATATAATAATTAATAATAGCAGCAATAATAGGAGCTTTCAGGGGAAAGGATACATGATGGTGGGAAATGCAAGCACAGCATAACTTAAATGCTTTAGTGGAAACCCTGCGCCAGATTTCATGGAAGGTAGTTTTCCAGTTTATTACGATCCCATGTCAAATGACCAGGTTTGGATATAATAGCAAATTGTATGTTAAAAGTAAATCAGAGTTATTATTGAATAGTTTTAGGTGTGGTAAAAGATTCTGGTTTTGCCGGTTTTCTGTGTGGTAGGTATAAAAAGTAATTCTCAGACCTGAACTTTATTACAACGATTTATCTTGGACATTCTTTAAAAAATGTGCTGAATATTTTTTCACTCTGGAAAACTGTTTGCTGAATATGCTGCTAAGTCATTAGATTTATAAGGAATGTGGCTCTGTTGCAACATAAACCACTGTGGAGAAGGGTACTGGCCTCTCTAGACTGTGTGCTGACGCTGGCAGGAAATAAGCTCTGCCCAAGGAACTGCGTGCTAGATCTACTTTCTGCCTTCATCAAAGCCACTGTGGGGAGCTCAGTCCTTAAAAACGAGCAAAAATAATAATAAAAAGAGAGTTTGGCTGGAGTCTAAGTAAATCTGTCCTTTGAGAGTATGGGAAACATTTATTATTCTGATTCAGTCTAAGCTGTCATTGATACAGAAATTCCTCTTCAGTCAAGCTGGGATTTGCCTAAGTGAGGACCCCTGGATTTAATCCAGTAGTAGCCTAAGCCTTCTTCCTGTGTTGAATGGGGACTACTACACGTGACCCCAAAAGGAGGACAAAATGAGGCTCATCAAAACTGTTTTGATACAATATGTTGAACAGTTGTGGGTTTTGAAGAGACTGGAGAAAATTTCTTTTTGCTTTGCTTATTGAGCTTTTTTTTTTTAATCTAATTTAAATCTGTGAATTATTATTTGAAGCTATAGATGGATATTCATACAAGGCGTAGTCCAGATGTGCTGAAGTGAGTTCTCCAGCGCATGGAAATATTCCCAGCACTCAGAACGTCATGTTTTTGAGTGCTGTTTGAACTACAGACAGTCAGCAGAGCCAGTGTTAAATGTTTCTGTCA